ACGGGCCGGTGCCTGTCGTGGTGGCACCCAGACTATATTAAATGCATTTTGCTCTGTGAAATAATTGTCCTGTTGTTGGAGTTTATTTGGAATGCTGTTTTTAATGGTTTTCTGGCTTTTGATACAGTATGAGATGTTCAGCATTTAAATGTTTCATATTTATTTACTATGACTTCCAGTGCATTCCTATATCTATCAACATGCATTCCTATATCTATCAACATGTTGCAGAGCACGTGCAGTGTACAAAAAAAATTATAATTTTCACTTCCATTCGTTATTCATATGATATATGAGATACTTTAAAAGTTTTTTTTATACGAGTTTTAACAAAATAAGAGATGTACAGAAAGAACAAGCGAAGGGCCAACAGAAGGAGAAGCTAGAGAAGCAGTCTCCAGACAGATGAGCACCTCAGCACTGTGGATAGGAAGTGGGAGAAGGGAGGATGGACAGAGAGAGAGAGAAAAAGGAAGGGAGGACAGTGGTCAGTCTGTGCTGTGACAGAACTCCCAAAGGCTCCGGAGTCGTGCATCTGTGCCTGTGTGTGAATGAACATGGAAAGAAAAAGTATGTGTGTGTCACTCCAGGGTTGTGTGTCTGTGTACATGGGTGAGGGAGGGAGCACGGCAGGGGGCCGCTAATAATAGCCGAGCTCCCCTTTCTGCCAGAGTGCACATGCAGGGCTTTTTGAATGAGCTGGTGGCTGAGGCTCTTCAACACTGGAGGAGAGTGCAGCCTCTCATCAGCTGGCTCGGCCACTCCTCACTGCTCACCCTTGAAAGCTAAAGACATGCATGATATGGTTTTACAGCAGCAGTTTTCACCCTGTGACAGTGAGATAAACATACTGCCAAAGGGTGGAAAAGGCTGTTTGGTTGAGCTGCTAGTTGCAAACCAGCTCTATTTGAACAACAGTCATCCTCAGTTCACTGTCAGTGGCGGGGCAACCCTCACTTTAAAGCCTCAAGCAAGAAAAAAAAAAATCTCTGTGGTTGTTGTTTGTGTGGTACTTGAATGTCTTTCTCAAAAACATACCTAACCGATGCATGATCAAAATAACTGTATTCGAGGGACTCCTTGGCATTATGCTTATCCAGCACTTTTTCAGAATGCCCCACCTAGTGTGGCAGAGCTGCTGCATGTAACAAACCCAATTTCTTGTTCCTGTTATAACAAATCCACCACACTGCAGTTACAACCTCTGCAGCTTCACAGCAAGGGCAAATCAATGACAGTCACTCTGCAGTGGTGGAGAGCAACTAAGTACATTTACTCAAGTACTGTACTTAAGTACAATTTTGAGGTGTTTGTACTTTGATTTGATTTATTCTTTCAAGCATGTAAAAACAGTTGATATGACAACACACATAATTTTACACATAATCCAATATCAATTTGCTTATATCTAGTACATGCTTGAATGGAGTAGGAAGAAGTCAGACTCATCCAGTCCTACCCCCTGACATCATCTTACCATCATTGGTTTGCAAGCAGTAAATGATTCACTTCTACCCACACAAGTATTATACTAAAAAAAAGATTATAACAGTGTTAACATTCTTACATAATTACATTCTTAAATAATTCTCTTCTACCCACACAATATACTAAAGAATTATTACAAAGTGTTAACATTCATACACCACACCCACAATGTTCCATCTAATTAATCATTGAGCCTGTTCTTGCATATATCTTGATTGACACATACCTTTATATTTATGTTTAAACTCGTCAATTCTATTACTATTTTTTATGTCTACACTTAAATTATTCCATAGTTTTACCCCACTTATAGAAATACAAAATCTTTTTTTGGTTGTACGTATAGCATGAATTTTTAAATTTACCAAATAGTGTACTTTTTATTCCACTATGTTTATTTGATAACATTAGTTACTTTTCAGAATCAAATTATCAAAAGAAAATACAGTATAATCTTTAGACATTATTGATCTCCTGTAGAAAATTCACAAGCTTCTCAGCAGTACTAATTTAATTAATATTTCTACTTTAACTTAAGTAAAAATTTGGCTTGTTATCTGCTTTACTGGAAGACAAATGACTCATAATTCATCTGCTGTGTTTTACAGCTGTTTTAATATTGCCAGGTGGTGAATATAAACATGCCACTGCAAACAAATTTGGCTTTAAATAGCTCAGCAGGTAGTGTCCCATAGGGTGTAGTGGATTTTTATAGCTTTTTCACTGCAAACACATAGCTGCTGTGACCTAAGATGACACCATGTGACTGCGTGAGACTGAGAATAATGACTTTAAAAGGCTATTTTGCTAAAACGAGGGGAACTACAGAGTCAAATGATTCATATCTATAGGTCACTCAGTATTAGACCTATTTTACATCATTTGATGCACTGTTAATATTACTGCAATAGATACAAACACACATCATGAGTACAACAGATGCAAATTGTCACATATGGGAACTCGCACAGCTCAATAACCACTTACAAAAGCATGGATGCCTGCCAAATGTACCTGTGTACTTTATATGCACACACTCCTATTTTCCCACCAAGGGGTTATTATTACACAACAATAGGAGTAGTCTGTTAAAAAGGTGTGCCTGTTACTGTCGCACATGCAAACACAGAAACAGAAATAAATGGATTAAGGCCCACATGACCATGGCACTAACCCTCCCCCACAGCTGATGCAGTGATGCAGCTAATTGACCAGCACCAGACAGGGCGCGGTTAAAAAATTGTAAATCTAAGCTTTCACAATGCACGAGCAAACTGTGACCTCTTAGAAAAACCAGTAGGAGCTGATGATGGGAAATAAGGTCACACAAAAGCCACTCTTATGACAAATGCTATTCAACATGATTCATTCAGCCAAAACCGGTGCTGAATCCATGATGTCCATTTTCAAATCTGCAGGGAAATGATGTTCATCGCAGTGGCAGCTGTAAAGTACAGTTGAACAGTCAAAACCCTGAGTGTGCTGGAAGTGATGTACTGTAATTAGAGTTCATCTAATTCATCAAAATTAAATAATGCCACTGAACGTTTGAGTCCACGTCCAGCTACTGCAGTCTAAGTAACTAATATCTGGATTCATTCAGCTCCTCAGACCTTTGATCTAATTTTCTGTTTTCATCTCTTTGATTTGTTTCATTAAATGTGGATTCAGCTGCATTTTTGGTTCAGCAAAACTAAATGCATACCAAACCCAATGTAACTCAACTGTATTTTGAATTTAACTACATACAAAACTTAGACTAGAGACTATTTTATTATTTATATTAACCAGATTTTAGCTCTAGATGTGTTTAGTGAGACATACAGTGCATCCTACATTTTCCAGAAACAAAAACAATATCTCTCTGTTTATGGAAGATCTTTAGTTTTGTATCTCCTTACAGGTGTGACAACATATATACTTTATATTTAAGTTGTTTGCATAAACTAAACAGTACATTTGAATTTGTCCTAGTTGAGTGGCCATCGACAGATGGTGAGGCAGGTTTGGATGCCCATTGGACATTGACCCTCAGGATAGAAGTGATCATGAGGTCTTTACAGCATACAGAAACACGGACACAGTGACAGAGATGCAGCGTATACTACCATTTGTGGAGGCAAGCAACTGGTTGAGAAACCTTCCTACTCAGACATGCACACAGTGCAGTGAGGACACAGCTGAATGAAAGCAAAGAACATTGTGTTTGCATTGGTTGAGGGTTCAGTTTAAAATTCTGCTGCTGTTCAGAAGCTGTGAGAGCAGTTGAATCTTAAATATGTGTGGTTCCTCTGCCAAGGAGACTCTAGAAAAGCTATTACTGGGGGATAAGCTGCAAAGGTAATGGCTAAGATAAGACAGATAAGATGTGAAGCACTGGCATAAACTCCAAAAGGAGGTGCAGGGATGAAAATAAACAGAAGACAGTGGATGAATGGAAAGAAAATAGCTGCTCAGACTGCATTCAAACAGTGGAGTTCTCATGTGTGTAATCCCTCCTCCATGTGATCAAACATGTTAACATTTGTTCTGTTTGAAAGCAAAAGAGTGATGTCTGGAAATCTTACCCAGCATGCCCTTGTTGGGCTCAGATAGACACATGTCCTTCTCTGCACTAGGCAGCACAAAGCCAACCACAAAGATCTCCACACCGTCTGCCATCAGCGCCAGCCCCAGGACAAAGTAGAGCATCCACTGGAACTTCCCATGGCCACACTCCTGCAGGATGGTCTCATACTGCTGAGCCAGCTCCTCCTGGTCTTTCTTCCTCTCGCCCTCGTAGGCAGACAGATCCCTGAACTGCTGAGCCTGAGCAACCGTGCTATCCATACCACCAGCTTTGTCCGAGTCTGCCCTTGGGATGCCCTGGTACTCGCCTTCATAGATCTCATCATCTTCATCGTGTCCTTCAGTAGAGTCACTGTGACCTTCATCATCATTGGCCCGACTGTCATTGCGGTAATATCCACTGTCATTACTTGGCACACTGGCATAGTCATCATCATCATCTTCCTCTTCAAAGCGCCTATAGGAACGCTTGGTGTACTCATCTGCCATTTTGTCTACGCCGCGGCCCACCTTCTTGCCTACCCGCTTCTTGGCCACTTTGGCAATGTCCTTGGCACCACGTATGAAATCTGAGCGGCCGTCTCTGTAGCGCCCGTCGTCATCCATCTTGGGTGTGTTGGTAGTCAACCTTTGCTAGGAACAGAAAGTATCAGGAGCGGCTCAAGCACATGAGTGTGCAATTGGGATTTCTTTTAGCAGATGAATTCAGCACCGCGGACAGCTCCCTGCTCCGCTGCACTGTTGCTGTCGGAGTCTGGCCAGCGTGCGCTCAGATACCAAACCCTGTGTGAAGAAAAAAAGTTGGTGTTAGTGTGATTCATCACACCGGCAGTGTAGTGTGAAAGAAGCACCCATTGTAAGCACATTTTTAAACAATCTACATGAGATCCAATTGATACTCAAACTACACGCTATTGGCATTGATATGGTGTTGGCACATTACTGTAATTATAAGACATGACATCTGAGAATAGGAACTCAGTGGCCTATACTGACTGAGATGACAGTAGTCATCTCATAGCTCACTGCTCAGCCCAGCATAAATCCCAGTGCGGCGTTTAGAGTGTCACATCACAGAGCCAACATATAATGGACCATTTTGTGACACAGACATCTATAATTAATAAGCAGGGCATCAATGCGGTGCAGTATTGGTCGTTGTACAGTATATTGATGATGCTGTCACTGCTAGGATGAAAGAAGCTCACTGAAAAGACTCATGACAATCTGTGAATTCAGACTAATCTTAAAAATCACATACTTCCTCCTGGGAAGCCAGAAAATAACGAGAGGCTATCTCAGTGGTCTGAACAGTGAAATATGAGAAACATGTCTTAGTCAGAAAGTCACTTTCAGCTTTTCCCGTTTAGGGGTTGCCACAGCGAATCGTCCCACTGACGACTCGCATGTTGACATTTGGCATGTGTTTTACGCCGGATGCCCTTCCTGACGTAACCCTGATTTGAACCCCGGGCCACAGCGGCAAGAGCGCTGTGCCTTAACCACTATCCTACCAGGGACGGCTGTAGAAACATGTCTTAGTAATTATAAAAGACATATTTTTCAAGTACGAAAACACTAAACTTTGTGTTTTAAAAGCTCTGAGTGATGAAATCTATGAAACATTCACTGTACTACTAGTTGGTCTTGTAGTATTACTTCTGATCCAAAGATTAAAATCTCTACTTTCTTGAACTACTTCAGCTTCACTCTTTCTGCTCTTCCATCCTAGGGCATCCTCTCTTCTGCACCTGCAACCACTGTCATTTCTCAAGTGCTGTCTCCATTTCCATATCTCTTTAATCATGCTGCATGTACTTAGGCCACATCAAGAAGAGAAAAGAACACTGCAGAACAGAAGAGAAAAGGCCGTCTTGAATCTGTCAGCAGGCCTCCCCGTTCTTTTCCTTGTCGCCCCGGTCACTGTGATGCAGCCCTTGTTTGTCTTGCTAACGGGGACATGCTGTGCCAAGTAAAAGGCTGGAAGCATTACAAATGAGAAAACAATCTCAGCAGGGAAAACCTCATTACCATAAGTGTTTCAGTGACCATCTGACATACTATCAATTGTTCATATTATACTGTAGCTTTGATCCATGTATAGCATCATTACATGAATAATGTAGTTAAGATTAGCAGCCCAAACAGCAGACAAATTACATTAGATATGTAGCTACAGAAAATTTGTTTTGCTTAGCATAAAGACTGGAAACAGGGAGAAACAGCTCCCTGGCTCTGAACCAAGCAAAAATAAACCTGCCTACTAGCATCTTTAAGATTGGTAATGAACACGTTATATTACATTTGTGTATAACAGACATGCAAAAATGACACGCTGTAGTTTTATGGGGAGTTGTGTGTTGTAGCAATTCTGTGGCTAAGCTAATTGTCTCATGGGTCCAGCTTCATGCCTAACAGATGTACATGTACAGTATTAACCTTCTCATCTATCTCAGCAAGAAAGCAAATGACTGTTTCCTAAAAATCAAACTAGTCTTTTAAAAATTAACAATATGCATGTTTACACCACAAATGCACTGTAGTTACTTTCTTCAGACTTTTCTATGTTTTCCTACAAAACCCCTTTTTATTTTACAAATTTAGGCAAAGCTCTCAAAAAGTTAATGTTCTCTAAACAGATTGTTGTATAAAAGCAGACAAATTACTGTAGTATTTAAATTAGGAGTGATTAGGAGTTAAAAAAATATAGACTAGGTCTGGCCGAGCGTTTGGTAAATGGTCTTATATTTGTATAGCGCCTTTCTATGCTTTTACAGCACACTCAAAGCACTTTCACACTATTTGGCCATTCACCCATTCGCACTCCCAAACATTCACACACCAGTGACATCACCGGGTTCAGTGTCTTGCTGAAGGACACTTCGACATGTTGACTGGACAAGCCGGGAATCGAACCGCTAATCCTTCGGTTAGGAAACGACCCGCTCTACCTCCTGAGCCACAGCCGCCCCGTTTGATGCCATCTTTTGATAAACGATATTTAACAAGCTATGCCTGGACAATCACCATACAGAGGTTTAGTGAATAGTCATTTCACAGCCGCAGAACTTCATCCAATTGCTCTCCTTCCATTTCACTTTTTGTATTTCTGCATTTGTCCTGGTGTGCTGTATTTATTCAGTCTGAATCATAAAGGTTCAGTAATGGCCTTTCATGTTGTCATAAGGATAAAACAGACATTTTGTTTCCCAGTAAACTACAATGCATGACATCAAGCTTAGCGTCATACTGTTTTCAGACTGCCCTAACAATGTAGCAATCAATAAATCAATGAGCCATGTAATTAATATGAGGAACAATGGAGGAGTGTTAATTACACTGGGTAAGTGCCAAAATAACCCTGGTGCCACTATAATTATTAACATTCCTGTTCATTAATAGGATGTTCAAACTGCTTATAAAAGTGTACATCAACACAACAACAGCAGATGTAATCAGATGAGAGAGGGGAGGGACGGCAGGCTTTGAGAAGTCAGGAGGGAGGGAATCTTTGAAAGCTCAGGGGTGTTGAACAGACACACACACACACACACACACACTACTGCCACATGCTCCAGAGGTCTGCTGGGACAACTGAGTCTCTAACAACGCGCTTGCTGAAAGCCAGCTAAGGTAAAACCCAAGAAGAATGGGGGTAGGGTTCGTTAGTGGTCCCATCTGATCCCTTTTCACTCAGGTCGTCAGGCCTGGGACAGAAGATGATAAAAACATAAACATGCTTCATCTGATAATATGTAATGTTGCAGCTTTTATGCAACCAGATTAAAAAAGGTTTAGAAACTAAGGATTCAGGGTGGCATGGTGGGGCAGTGGATAGCACGCAGTATTTTTTCGGTGTGGCTAATGTAATGTGTGACTAATGGCTAGTGTAGCTAACCCTAGTGCACATCAGGGTCCACAAGAGATCGGTCAAGAAAACCAGTCTGGTCTAAACCATAGGAGGCTTTTAATATCATGATCCATTGTTCAATTTTCCGATGCTTAATGTCACATTTTGGGATCTTGATATATTGTTCCACGATGCATTTCAAAAGTTTTTAATTACATTTACAGAATTAAATTTCAGATTATTTAAGAAATGAACATGAATGCTCAGAATTACATAATAAATAAGGAAGTTAAAATCCTTTTTTTGGTTCCTGAACACTGAGTGATGACAGAAACAAGAGTCTGCACTTAGACACACCACACGCTGAGCTACACTACATGCTGACATGCTCATAAGCAGGTATAGTGTTGGGTATCTTAGATTATGGCTGGGGCCATATAGGAATATGGGGGCATGTTTTGCAAATATTTAGTCATAGACCAAAGTATTTGACAAATTTAACCAAGTATGAAAAATTAATACATCTCCAAGAGGTATGGTTTCTAATGGGGACATAAATGTGCCCATCAGATGTGTCACAGTTTGCTAGTATAGACAGGATGGTTGTGAACATCCTGTCTATACTAGCAAACTGTGACATTCCCATGTGGTGGTGCTAAAGAAAAAAAGTCACTAAAATTAGTTGACTTCATCCTCTGATGAATGACAAAATGTTATGGCAATCCATCTAATAGTTGTTGAGATATCTGAGAGTGGATCAAATGAACCAGCTGACAGGTGACACTGCCATCTCTGCACATCATTTCCCAGGGTTTATTGCCATTTGGGGTCGGATTACCTCAAATAAGCTGATCAGCAGACAAAAAACACCACACTACTCACAGAAAGTCAGCCATTTCATATTACTTCTGAACTACATCAGTGACCTGTATGCAAAGGTTAAAAAACACATAAGCTTCAGGCCGAACTACAGGAACAAGCAGCCGAGGACAAATTGATTTCTTGCGTGCATCAGTGGGAGCCGACTGCTTCAGGGGAATTCTTGTTTAATGGTTCAGTTTAAACTGAGGGCTATAAAGATATCTGTTGCTAGAGAGACTTCACTTTGGCTTTTCAGGCTCACAAACATCCCTCAGGCCACAGGCTTCAGGCAGATTTGGACAGAAACATGGTGATCAAGCTGGACTCAAATTATTCAGACCACAGTAAAGTTCTATATATGTATATACAAATATTTTTACCAGACATTTAGTGGTCCATCCACAAGTTTTATTAAAGGTTTGTTTCAGCAGCTTCTCACTCTGATGGGAAGCATCACACCATGAGCAAATGTGGAAGACATTTGGTGCTTTGCCATCAACCTGATCTCATCCTATGAAGTGCTCATTTTTGATTTTGATTGCATGTTTGTGTTAACTGACTGACCTTTCTTGGAGCTGCAGCCAGGAGATTCAGCCATGTGCCAGTCAAAATGCGCTTATATGAGATTAACATTGTCTTAACTATAAATCGACAGCATGCAGGTAAAAGTCTCAGTAGGTGGCGTAGACCAGAACTGAGCTAAGATAAGAACAGGGTTGGTTTTAACTGCACATTTCGTTGCACTCGTGCATTTGCACCCAGACTATTTTGGGACAGGACATTCTTGTCAATCACTACATATATTACAGCACATGTTCATACTCGTGTAACCTTTCCATAATAATGACAATTCATGAAGCCCCTCCACAGAGCTAGCATCCCATTGGCAGAAAGTGTACGGTAAAGGTCAAACTGCTTTAGTTTCTATCTCATTAGTTTCAATAATAAACCTCCAACTTCTCCCATGAGAGAAGAGACTGCTCCATTAGAAATAAACTGGTTGTGCTTCTCACTCAGCTTCACCTGCTGCAGAAAATTGGATTTCATGGCTCAGAAACAACTCCCATGAGAG